CTGTAGATAAAGATCAGTGGTTTTGCATAAAAGGACTTTATCTTGTTGCTTCAAGCACATCATTCTACGCATTGGATGCGCATAAGCGCTTTGTGCTGCTCTGTACTGGAGCCTTTCATGTTATAATACTTTTGCGCAATGAAAGATTGTTACAGTTTTTCTTGATTGCTAACACACTATAACTGATTAATTTGGCCCAATTTTCCAAACCATTCATACAGTTCTCGAAACAAAGACACGTTTCTCAAAACTTTTAACACATTTCACCTGCTTGCACACACATTCCAATTTGCTCAGTGTTTTCGGCAAAACTCTACACAAAAACGGCATCATTTTGCACCGGTTTAACCATGTTTTCATTAAGAAAACACAATATAATTAACTCGAGCATCAAAAAATGAACTCAAACAGCGCACATTTATCCATGTGTGAACATTCAGTAGCAAAACTATGGAAGCCCGTTTCTGCCACTGAATAAAACATTTAAAAAAGGTAATTGATAAAACTTTTTATCTCACAATTCTGACTTTTTTCTCAGAATTGCGTGATATAAACACAATTGCTAGCTATAAAGTCAGAATTGTGAGATATAAAGTCACAATTGCGAGATAAAAACTCCCAATTCTGACTTTTTTTCTCGCAATTGCGAGTTTATATCTCGCAATTCTGACTTTTTTCTCAGAATTGTGAGATATAAACTCGCAATTGCGAGTTATAAAGTCAGAATTGCATGATATAAACTTGCAATTGCGAGTCCAATTTTGAGGGGGGGGAGACTGATATGTTTATGTCTCACAATTCTGACTTTATAACTCGCAATTGCGAGTTTATATCTCACAATTCTGAGAAAAAAAAAGTCAGAATTGCGAGTTTATACTCGCCTGTCAAAATAGTCCATGTATTTGACAGGCTGCCTCATTACTGTGCTATAAATGTAAAAGAAATGTATTTAATTTATTGCATATATTTATATATATAATTATATTTACTTGTTTTTCATGAATGTATATCACAATACAAAGAGCAATGTGTAACATTTTATCAGATTACACCTATTTACTTTTATTTTTCCTCCCACTAAATAATGTTTTTTCTCTAAATGTTTAGATTTTATAAAATTATTGTGAACTCATCATTTTTGTAGAGTAACTTTTGCTGCTGAATTATCCACTAACCTAGTTTATAAGTTTTTTATCCACTCACCTAGTTTATAGTATTTTTCTCATAGATTATGATTATATATTTTTTAATTTGTTATTTTTCTTTATAATGAAGTTGTCTATATTTAGTAGATTGTGTGTAACACACAAAAAAGTGATGATCAGGTCAACACACTGAGGTATATAATCTCTAAATGTTTAGATTTTATAAAATTATTGTGAACTCATCATTTTTGTAGAGTAACTTTTGCTGCTGAATTATCCACTAACCTAGTTTATAAGTTTTTTATCCACTCACCTAGTTTATAGTATTTTTCTCATAGATTATGATTATATATTTTTTAATTTGTTATTTTTCTTTATAATGAAGTTGTCTATATTTAGTAGATTGTGTGTAACACACAAAAAAGTGATGATCAGGTCAACACACTGAGGTATATATATAAAAAAAAACAAAAAACTGTGCTGGTATCGGATCGTTATCGGTATTGTCCGATACTCAGAACTTTTGGTATCGGATTGGGATCAATTCTGAAAAAATGGTATCGTGCCACCCCAACTTCTTTTAAGATTTCTTTGTTGAAATTAAAAGGAACAATCAGTTCAGAATTGTAAATGTAAGCTTGAATGATTTTTCATAATGTGACCTTGGCTTTGACAATGCAGGATTGTTTTTCTGATAACATCTTTATTTCAGTGTGTTCATCTTTGTTTGTGTCACTGCATTTTTTTTTCATAATGTGATGCAGTTCTTTCTTTCAGTTTAAATTATAAACACAACACTTTTGTTTTTGCCCCCATTTTTCATGAGCTGAACTCAAAGATCTAAGACTTTTTCTATGTACACAAAAGGCTTATTTCTCTCAAATATTGTTCACAAATCTGTCTAAATCTGTGTTAGTGAGCACTTCTCCTTTGCTGAGATAATCCATCCACCTCACAGGTGTGGCATATCAAGATGCTGATTAGACAGCATGATTATGGCACAGGTGTGCTTTAGGCTGGCCACAATAAAAGGCCACTCTAAAATGTGCAGTTTTATCACACAGCACAATGCCACAGATGTCGCAAGTTTTGAGGAAGCATGCAATTGGCATGCTGACTGCAGGAATGTCCACCAGAGCTGTTGCTCGTGAATTGAATGTTCATTTCTCTACCATAAGCCATCTCCAAAGGCGTTTCAGAGAATTTGGCAGTACATCCAACCGGCCTCACAACTTTTTTAAATGTGTTGGAAAGAATCTCTTATGCTCTCCAAAGCTGCATTTATTTGTTAAAAAATATAGTAAAAGCTAATATTTTTAAAATATTATTTCAATTTAATATAACTGTTTTCTGTTTTCATATATTTCAAATGTAATTTATTTCTGTGATGCAAAGCTGAATTTTCAGCATCATTACTTATTTAGAAATTATTATAAAATGCTGATTTGCATATTTAAATGAATTTTAATTGTATGCATTTGATTTTAATGCATCCTTGCTGAATAAGAGTATTCATTTCTTTAAACAAACAAACAAACAATTTTACCTACCCTGAACTATTATACTGCAAAATTGGGATCATAAAAGAACAGCCTGAAAATATGTGATGTGAAAATAATGGCACTAGTATTCATGTTGGCTTGCATAGAATGGACAATATATATATAGGAAGGGGTCAGAGGGTCCATTCATACAGAACTCAGGCCTGGACTATAATTTGTGCCTGACAATCTTCAGTTTCTTTGAGGAGATTGACACAAAAATTCCTCCAAAGTGATTTGTCAAGTGCCTGTTCAAAAATCACACCACCTCCAGACACCAGTGGGACAGGAAGATGAATCTGGTGATATTTCGTACAAAACCTCCCTGTGATTATGTTCACTCAGGAAGGAGCAATATAGAGAAGGATGGAGGGAGAGAGAGACACGCAATAGTCAGAGGGTCCATTCATACAGAACTCAGGCCTGGACTATAATTTGTGCCTGACAATCTTCAGTTTCTTTGAGGAGATTGACACAAAAAATTCCTCCAAAGTGATTTGTCAAGTGCCTGTTCAAAAATCACACCACCTCCAGACACCAGTGGGACAGGAAGATGAATCTGGTGATATTTCGTACAAAACCTCCCTGTGATTATGTTCACTCAGGAAGGAGCAATATAGAGAAGGATGGAGGGAGAGAGAGACACGCAATTTTTAGTGTTTTGATCATTAGTATCCATGGGAAACATCACAACATATGCAGCACTGAAAAGGTTATGAATCATTTGAATTCAATGCATTTATTAAGTTATCGCTTGCTTCCTCCATGCATTTTGTTTGTTTAGTAGAAATGCGTTTAAAAAGATCTGTTTTAAAAATGAACTCTTGACTAACTTGACTAAATCAAACAGTCACAATAAACAAAACTGTTACAAATGAAGCTGAGACATAACCATGCGCACACTAAGTGTGTAATATGCATGACTCTATGTTTAAACACAACATTAGCTCAATAAACTAATTTTTAAAGAGACAATTTGGCATTTTATAGAGATACCTTGACCTTTTGTGTTTGTGCATGTTAAACACATTCCTCACTTCAAGCTCACATGTTATAGACTAAGCCCCAAAGCAAAGGTGGTCATTAGACATATACTTTAAAGCAAGGGGTGTTTAGTCAGGGCAGGAATGCTTTATTATAAGCCTTGTAAATCAAACCAGACTTTCTCCTCTTCAGCCTGAGGATGTATTTCCTTGAGAAATACACAAAGCACTGAGGCTGATGTTAATTCTGTCTCATTTATTCTTAACAGAGGTGAAAGTCTGTCTAGATGTTCTCAATGTAAGACGGCCCGGTACTGCAGTGTTCAGTGTCAGGTAAGAGCTCGTCACACATGCTGTTGGGTCCTAATCATCAGAGAGCTTTACAAACAAGCTTATGATGAAATCTTATTTCAGTGTAAAGATTTAAGATTACATTCAGTTATTTTCAGGAAAGGATTTGCACCTAAAGAAATTAAGAGTGCGTTTGACAAATGTGACCCTGGACCACAAAACCAGTCATAAGGGTCAATTTTTCGAAATTGAGATTTATATGTAATCTGAATAAATAATCTTTCCATTTATGTATGGCTTGTTAGGATAGGACCGAGATATAATTCAATATTTGGCCGAGATACAACTATTTGAAAATCTGAAATCTGAGGGTGCAAAAAAATCTAAATATTAAGAAAATCGTTGTCCAATGAATTCTTAACAATGCATATTCCTAATCAAAAATGAAGTTTTAATATATTTACAGTAGGAAATTAAAATATATATCTTCATGGAACATGATCTTTACTTAATATCCTAATGATTTTTGGCATAAAAGAAAAATCAATAATTTGACCCATACAATGTATTTTTGGCTATTGCTACAAATATACCCCAGCGACTTAAGACTGGTTTTGTGGTCCAGGGTCACAAATGCTTAAAGTGATATACAATCACATGAGATGAATATTCTAGTCATATTAGCAACCTAGATAAAGCTATTTATTTTGTTTATATTTTTTATTTGATTTTATTTAATTTTTTGTGCATGATGCCTTGCAATGTAAAAGCAGCCTAATAGAGCTGTTTATACTATTAAATAATCAATGTTCATGACAGAGAACTGCTTCTAATTTATTTTCGTATTACTAATTTAGTTTTTCATTACTGACTGTTTACTAGAATAATTACTTGTGCATTGTTCACTTAATTAAAAAAATATTCAAACAGCTACATACCATTGTTTTAAATTATTTTTTAGTATTTTTATTAATATTTCACTTTTTAGATAGCATTCAATAGCACATTGTTTGTAATAGAACAATGATGTGGTATAGAAATTGTGTTCAGAAATCATGATTTCACACATAAAACATGAAATAAGTTTTGCATTTAAAATACATAATATTAAACAGAAACATCTTAAATCAGTGACCTACTTTATTGCATTAAGTTTGTGCTATTAATATCAAATGTACAGAATGGAAAACTATAGAGTGAAATTCAGATATTTAAATGTTATGCCTGTATCCTGTGGAATTTAATACAGTCGTTCTGCTTTATGTGGATTTTGACTGTCCATCAAAACTCTGTATAATAATGTCGTTAAAATTTTCCAGGTTTTTTTGTTTTTTGAGCCGGCAGTTATTGGAAACTCTTGCATGAGGTCCAGTGTGACTTTCCATCAGAAGTATTTGGTGCTTGGAGCCATACACCTGTGAAACACGTTCACATTCAGAGGATTCTCCTGTAGTTCTGTCTTTTAACCCTGTAAAGCCTGACATATGAAAAAATATGAGCAAAAATTTGGTGCAGTTGCTTATATTTATATGGCCATGTAAATCTGTACAGATGTAAATCTGTGAGATTTTTATAACAGACTATTTACATAAAATGCAAAAACTGTATAGTTCTCAAATCTCATTGCTCAAAATCTGGATTATTAAATATTGTTCTGTTCCTCGTACAAAGCTATCGTAAGACTTCAGAAGAGTCATATTAGCTACTTCTAGGACTGTGTCCTTCCTCATTCACTTTTATGCTGTTTAAAAGAGCAGCGTGAACGTTCTTCTAAACACAGAAGAAAGAAAGCCATGCAGATTTGGAAATGAAATGAGGTGTAAATCACGACAGAATTCATTTTTTTGGGTGAAATATCCCTTTAATGTGTCTGTCACATGCTCTGCAGAAGTCTTTGCAGTTCAAGAACATCCAGTCTCTCAAAGCTAGACGCCACGCTGCTTTCAAATAGCAAAGCTGTCACTGTCAAGCCAGCGCTGTTCTCTCCAGGCACTCATGGTTGTCAAGTTGGTCTTTGTCTTTTTTTAATTGTAGGGCGGCCTTTCATCATAATTCCCTCTAAAGGGAGAACACACACAGAAAGCACGTTCAGCAAGATCTGAGCACTGATAGAAGATGTGTAACTTCATCATATGTATTTGTTTGTGAAATCTCTTCTATTTATTGTCTTCTTTATCCTCATCTTCACCTTTCAGAAGCAAGCATGGCCCGATCACAAGAGGGAATGCAAATGCCTCAAGCATCTCCAGCCAAGGATCCCTACCGACTCCGTCCGCCTGCTTACGAGGACCATCTTCAAACTGGTATGTGACATCAGAACCCCTGCCGTATCAGGACCACTTCAGACCTGTTCAAAGAGTGTTTCGCCTTTAAAACTGCCACAGGGCTGTTACACCTATTCTGTCTCTTTCCAGCTCAGCCAATCAGAAAGTGACCAAGAGGAGCTTTACTCGATAGCTGAACACCAGTCACGTAAGTTTATGTTTGATTGTATTGCAGTGCACTGACACAAGGCAAACGTCTGTTGCTATATTGTATTTTTCATGACTGGAATGCTGTTCTGACCAATTAGCATCCAGGTCTGGATTTGATTTATAAAACCATATACAGTGTTGTTTGGAAATGCCTTAGAGAAAATGGGATTTTGATAATACAGCCTGAAAATAAATAAATAAATCTTTGCACTGATCAGGGATGAGACAAATTCTGAAAACATATTTTATTAAATAAAAAAGAAGAAATAAATAGATTAAAGTAAAGTAAAAAATAAATAAGAAAAACAGAACATTTTAAATGTTCTGAAAAAAGTAAAACATCTTTAAAAAACAGCGTCTTAAAAATATCTTAATGTTGAAAAAACATCCTAAAAAAGAAATAAATGAATTAAAATAAAATAAAAAAATGAATTTAAAAAATCTGAACATTGTAAATGTTCTAAAAAAAAAAGAGTAAAACATCTTAAAAAACAACATCTTAAAAATATTTTAATGTTGAAAAAATATCCTAAAAATTTTTTTGAAATAAATGAATTTAAATAAAAAAAATAAATAAAAATAAAAAATCTGAACATTGTAAATGTAAATTGTAAGGAAATACAATAACTACTTATAAACCATCTCTAAACTGTGTTCTAATTCACCCAGTAAAATCTTTAAAAAAATAAACCTGAGCCAAATTTAATCCAGTAATCAGGCATCACTCCTGACTTTCATACTCCAAAATAATTTCTGGTCTGCATTGGTAATTTCATGTTACTTCAATTTAATAATACCAAGAAATTATAAGGATTTATGCCGATATTGTCCAAAACCCCACTTTTGAAAGTTGTCTTTCAGGCATCACAGAAATTGAAAATGTCCATTGTCGTTTCAAAAACCTGACTTTTTTCCTTTAAAAAAAACCAAATGATATACGGAATAAATGGCTTGTTAATGGATGGCAGTAAAAAGCACTAACTTATCCTGTGAGGTTGAAAAATTAGATTTCCTATGATGGAAGGTGAATAAATGTCAGATCCTGGCAGGAGTTTATTGTACCATTATGAATTTTCCTTTCTTTCTTGGGTTGGACCCTCTGTGAAACCTGCCCCGTGGCCCCCGGCTTTTCAAAAGTAATTGCCTATTTTGTCACAAAGAGCCTTGGACTTCTTTTTGGCCCCACTCTTTTCTATTCAGTCATAAGTAATGTGCAGCCATTAGAGAGGTAATCCTGCTGATGGTCCTTATGGAAGCAGTCAGCACCCTATCTGAACTTGTGCTTTCTCATCACACTAACGGCCTTATGAGACGCCACTCGCTCTCACCTCAAAATCAAGGTCTCATCAGCTCATGTATTATTTCAGGAAATCCATCAGCTCCTCATTTTTGCGGCTGTGCTGATTTACGTCGAGATTCATATGTAGACCTGTTCCTTTAGACAAACAGAAGAACATTTCACTTGATCGCTTTCCTTCATGTGTCTGAGTGATTTGAGCTGGTGGTCGACCAGTGGGTTTTTTCAGTTGTTGATATAGAATTTAACCCTTTTATGCTTTATTTTACAGTTTAACAGTAGTAAATGAGACATGCAAACTTCCAAAAATTGACAAAATACGTGTATTATAAGTGGTCGTGAGACATTAATGAAACATTAAATCATTACTTATTGTATGTTCCCATTTAAATGATTTTCATTGCACATTCAAGAGAATGAAATCACCACTTCCAGGGCAAATTATGGTTAAATAGAAATGAACGTTGTAGCCACTGTGGATCTTTATTAAATACAATCATTTATTTGCTGTTTAGAGCATGTTAGAGAGACAATTTATTCAGAAAATGCGTTTCCATTGTAGCATACACCTCCGTTCAAAAATTTAGAGTTGGTATGTTTTATAAATGTTTTTGAAATAAGGCTGTAATGCTCACCAAGGCTGCATTAATTAGAGCAAAATACAGTCAAAACAGTTGTGTTGTGAAATATAGAAGTATAGTTATTTTAAATTGTAGTAAAATTCTACAATGTATTTTATTCCTGTGATTGCAAAGCTGAATCACTTTTCACATGATTCTTCAGAAATCATTCTAATATGCTGATTTGGTGTTTAAGAAACTTCTTATTATTTTCGATGTTGAAAACAGTTGTCCTGCTTAATAGTTTTGTGATGCATTTTTTTTTAGGATTCTTTGATGAATATTCTAATCTTTGACTATATTGTCACTTTTGATCAATTTAATGTATCCGTGCTGGATAAAAGTATTAATTTATTAATACTCAGTTAATACCTATTTAAAAAAAAAAAACACTTACTAACCTTAAACTTTTGAATAAAAAATGTATCTACCTCAAACAGACTTATATTTGTTTTATGTTCTTTTGGGAAGTTCTATTTGCATATTAATTTTCCATTCAGCATTTTTATGTGATATGCCAAAAATGCATAAAAATAGATGTATGGACACCCAGCTAAAGACGTTAAGTCAGGTTTGATGTGTTTAGCTGGGTTTCCATGCATCTATTTTTATGCATTTTTGGCATATCACATAAAAATGCTGAATGGAAAATTAATTAATGGAAAAGAGCTGATTGTATATTGCAAATTAGCTCCTTTTTTGTTTCAGAGAAGTGTCTGGAACAACATAAAGATGCGTAAATGGTCACAAAATCTTCATTTTGGGGCGAACTATCTCTTAAAGAGACCAACACCTGCTTCACGCTCATAATTCTACACACGTTCAACCTCTCATGCTCCTGAGAAGTGGGAAGTGTGCGGATCCGTCTGCCATCCAGCATGTTATTTTCTTCTCAGGAGAGGTTTCAGACCCCACCGGCGCTCATTTACTGCCTGCTATTTGTTCATTTTAATAATCAACAATCTATGTATAACTTTTAGAAATAAATCATGACTATCCAGTGAACAGATTTGAATCATTTCAGTTTGATCAACTAGCCTAAGCACTGTGATTTTGTTCAGTTTGGGAGAGATACAATTTTCAAGGAGATTATAAAAGGCACCACACGTGGTGAAGACGTGTCAGATTTATGTATTGAATCTGCAGAGTTTTACTACTGCGTGTGTCTGTGTTTATGATGCTGAATGTGTGTGTGAACGCGAGATGTGAGCTGTGAGCTGTAGCCGCGGGTCAAGCGTTCGCTCTATCTGCCGCAGCAGCAGTGAACACACTGAACTTCATTGATGGTGCGTTTGGAGGAAATGGATCAGAGCAGGAAGGTTAATGAAAAGGCCCATATGTTTGCCGACATAAATCACACATCCAGAGTTATACTTCCAAATACACACTTTAATGCTACAATCAGACCTCTTTCTTTTCAGGTATACTCTAAAAACCTCACTTTCAGACATCCATTTTACTGGTACAGCCAGAAAATATGAAGCTGTCTGAATACACACTCAAAAACCGCCCTAATGAGAGATGCAAAACTGCTTTTTGATTTGTCTTCATTGGCTAAAGACACACCAACAGGTGAAAACAAGCACACACAGACCTTTTATTCTCCTCTGGTTTCTTATTGTGCGTTTTGGCTCTTTTGTGCTTCATCCTCGTTGATCATCATTAGTCTTTTTCACAGCTTGTGTTGGTTCAGCTCGGTGTTGTTGTTTTATATGCCACTGTCACCAATAGCGTAGTATGTGAACTTTTTCATGTAAATTAGGTTTAAATCTGTTTTTGTCGTTATTTATTACTGTACCCAGTGTAATTTATGAACCGCTACAAGAATGATGCATTTTCATTGAAAATAACCTTTAAATACCCAAGTTTTGCAGGTGGAACTTTGGGACTATCATCTAGTCTAGTCTTTTGGACATGGTTATCATGATAGATATACAATACCATACAATATTATTGCCATATTCATGTATGTTCCACATTTATAACAATCAGTCCAAAACAGAGCTAATGTAAAGGAAACCAGGCTGATTGCATCAGAGACGGCAGAGAGAGCAGAGACTAACATTGCATTTTCAGTGAATTATTCATTCCAGGGTGTTTCGCTTTAAAACACGAGCTCTGTCATCTCCTGTGATTGTCTCTGAAGAGCGCGAGCCCTCACACGTCACGCTGTGTGAAATACAAACTGAACAGAATGTCTTAATGTGTTAAACAAGATAAATGGTGTATGATTAATTTCATAAAGTGTGCGATTAATCGCGATTAACCCTTTTTCTGTGATTTATATAAATATATGTGATATCTATGTATATCTGTGATTATTACATATATATTAGTTTTAGTCATTTTAGTACTTCATCTTTAACTGCTTTATTTCAGTTAATGATTCAGAATGAATGGTTTTTAGTAGTTTGATTTAATTAACTCACAAACTAACCCACACTTCAAACCCAGGAATACAGTGTTTTCTGAGTGTGTAGTACCATGTTTTTGAACATTTACAAATATAATACCATGTTTTTGAACATGAGATAATACCATGTCTGTTTGTTTTTTAGATGTGTACCATGTCAGTACTGTTTTTAGACATACTGTATACTGTATCACTACGATGACTATGACTTTGAATACTATGTTTTTAGTCAAGTACCATGGTAATACCCTGTTTTTTCAGATATGTATCACAGTAATGCCACATTTTTGGGCATTTACCTGGGTCATGCTATGTTTTATAGATGGTAAAATGTTTGTTTGAACATTACCTTGTTTGTATTGTTTTTTATACATATATCATGTTAATACTATTTCAATCATGACAACTCTCTGAAGATTTTAGCATGGTTATGGATATGACAATGTTAATGTATTTGACCTTGGCGGAATAGATCTGCTACGCTGCTGCTGTTGGTTATTGCTGTAGTTGTAGATTATTGCTGCTGCTGCTGCAAGCAAGTACAGGAACTTGCTACTGCCAATGCATGTGGCGATACGGTCTATTAAACTTTTTCAAAGCTTTATTTGAACATTTACATGATATATTTCAACATGCTATTAAACTGTTGTCAGTCAAGTTGTCATTTAAAATCCGAACATCATTGGTAATGTTATTGTTTTAGTGATTATGCAAACAAAAAGTCATTTTATTTGTTGTTTGTTGATTTTTAAATATAAAACTTGGTGAAGTGATTTATGTGTCTGTACTTTTTGAACATCTCCA